AAGAAAAAGAAGCTGGCTTTCACCTCGAGTTGTATAAAGAGAATGCGTGAGGAACACTCATAAGTAATTATAACATGCCAAAATTTGCCAAGTAGTATGACGTTGAATACGATGTTGCGATTATTCCTGAACCAAATCGCTCTCCTTCACAATCCTCTAGCAGCATTTCATGAAAGTAGCACTTTTTTCATGAAGGTCGAATAGAAGGCAGGGACCTATGTGAGACAAGCAATGACTTAGTTTCTTCCTTGTTGTTACACCTAAGAAAATCAATATACTGCAATTAGTCAATTTTATGCCGCGAAACCAGTGGATCGACTCTAAGGATAACTGACACCATCGTGTGACCAGGAAGTGTTACCTGGAGGCTTGTCACACACATTATCGGCTGACGTCTGGGTAAGGAGAGATGACGCAAATACTGCAAGCAAGCACAATAAGTACATCATGACGGCGCATTCTAATAAACTCGTTCAAAGATTCTCGGATCACCTGCTCCACGAGCGTGTCAGCGCTTTCGATTATCGGCTGGCATGCCTGTTTATCCAACTGCAGATACGCGTGCAAAAAACCGAACAAAACCTTGTGATTGGGTTTGCATAGCGATGAAGAATGTGTGCGAATCTCTGTCGCACTGTTCGGTGATTTCGACGGTTTCATTGCCACTATTTTACAGCTGGTGAGTGCAACATCTCACAGCTGCTAGCGTGTCCACAAAGGGTCCATCAGTTTCCTCTTCAACGCTGCGCGAAACACGGCATCCTTAATTTAAAAAGACCTGCAGTAGAAACCAAAACTATCCTGCATTACCATTGAAATGACTGACTAACACCCACCACAGTGGTGTTGTCTTTATGGTACTCTATACTGCAGACTTCAAAGGTCACGTGGTCGAAGCTCGGTCATGGCGGCCACAATTTCGATGGAAGCAAAGATCTTGAGGTTTGTAGTTAAATATAGCGATATATGTTAAGAAACCCCCGATGGTCGTAATTTCCGGAGCCCTGCACTAAGGCGTCCCTCATAATCATATTGTGGTTTCGGCACGTTAAACATAAGCAATTACAATCACTTAGCAGCAATGATGTTGCACTGATTGCTGAGGTGGTGATGCTAGCTAGGGCCCTAGCTGAAGTTGAGCCATATCAGATGAAGTGAGGTCACAAATTATCGCCTAGATATCGTTGCGTACACTTAACAGAAGACGGTTGTACCATGGGGAAGACGAAATCATTGACAGAGCAAGGCATTCGAATATAGAGCCAACTATGACTGTCAGCTAAATATGGTGCAGCATCCAGCCAACAGTAACTCATTATAACGCCGATATGAGGCAACAACGCCACAGCAGCGAGTGAACCAGCGAAGCGACAGTCTTGATGTGTATCCCTTCATTAGAATAGAAGCTTTGATACCAGCACGCAAAAAGGTGTAAGCCGCCTGCAGAGGTCTGTGAACTGTCTGAGCGAATTCAGGATCCACGCAGTACTATTTTCACTCCATGGGCCTTTCGCACTACGAAAAGACAGCAGGCGCGCTCACCTCTCACGTCATCACCAATGTGTCGTGTGCTTTGTTAAGCCACAGTACCACGAAGTCGGTCATATTTGTTGTCAGCGATAAGACCACCATCTGAATAGATTATGTCAGGACATTAACACTCCTTTATGATCCTTTAGAAACTACCAGATTACTTTCCTACTTTAAGCATATCCAGGTTTTCTGGTTTCTCTGTTAACTCGCTCTCATCCTTTAAAAGTGGGACACTCCTGTCAAGTTTTGAATTTTGACGGCGGTAGAGAGACAAATTATAATATTTTGAATGATCGCACATGGAGCTGGCTCTGTGCTATCACACTGTTACTAATTGGCAAAGAAAGTTGTGTACTGTTGCTCACTAATTAAAGCCTTAAAGGTCAATGCACTTTAGAGAAGCAGGTAGAGCGTGAGCTTGCTGTAAGCACTGATTCTCCTTTTTGAATGACGTAATGTGGTGGGCAATTTGTTTGCATGCTTGAGATTGCAAAGGAGGGATAGCGAATGAATCCAGTGAGTTGCCTATATAACTACAGCTATGCAATGGCTGACAAGTCCAGCCATGCTCTCGAAATAAGTAAGGCCAGAACGCCGCCTCCTCCCTCCTCCTTTGTGGTAGCCTTTCTGACTCCTTTTCGCTAGGAAGCCAGCCAATTCGCTTAATTTCTGCGCGTGCCGCACCAATGGGCAGCCTTCGCACTCTTCCACTCGAACAGAAAGCAAACGAATAAGTGTGTAGTGTTGGCGACTGAGACTTCAGAGGGAACTTGACAGTGATGGCAGAAATGTCGCACAAGACTCCCGCTGAGTCCATTATGGGAAAGCCTCATATGACTACAAAATGAATGTTTTCTTGTATGCACAAAATATTTTTTGCGGACACCGCAAAGGACTTTTATTAACAGGTTTTGTACTAGGGCTATAACGGATCTGTTGAAAATTGCTCAAGATAAAAATTGCAGTTTTACAAAAGATGAAACCATACCAACTCGGCACTGTTCGGGCAGGTACCGGTTTATCGTGATGATAATTTTCTATCTGCAGCACACGCAAGACCTCGACCTGAAAGGGCCCTGCAACGCTTTTTGAGCAAGGTCAGAAAACACTGCCAGTCAGTACTAGAAGGCTAGAGACTCACGAGAATACGCGAGCCAAATATAGCGCTTGCAGCACGCGGCCTAGAATTCGCAATAAATTATGAAAGTCAGCTAAAACTTGCTTTCTCTTTTTAGCACAAATGACAAAAGACGCTCAAGAATCAATCGTAGAAGGCCATATATCAGCCATTGGTTGATTTAAACATGGCGCACTCGGTCGTTACAGGGATTACCGCGGGAGGATGCGACGTGTCCACGTGGGCGCGCGCGATCACACTAAAAAAGTCACGTATTCGACGGAAAAAACAGTGCAGAAGGTCACGATACAGGCGTGACCTTTTTTTCTTTGCCCCTGCTATTGTTCCCTGCTTAGCTACCAGCGCTTTTGTCGGGACGAGAGAAGAGAGACTGCGATTGCAGCGTGCGACAAATCCTTGTAACTCCACTCGTACTGGACGGATTCTTAAAATGATTGCGGCGTTGAATCCGTCCGGCAACAAACTCTTCTAGTGAATCCATTCCATAGCTACATGAAAAAGTGTTTCGGGGTTTCCTTAAACAGTCCTTCTCTGACGTCCGAAAATACAAATAAAAGATAACGAGCCCATTATGCTCTCCTTCTATTTCTCAAGTTTCGTAGTCTCTTCTTTTAGGTATCTCAGAGAGCGCATTTCGTTATGTCTAAGAGAGGTCATTAAACAAAAATGAAAGCTGGCCTTGTGTGTACTGATGTGAGCTTTCACTGCTCATGCTTTTGAACACCTGTAATTGTCCACGTCCAGACACTAAATGAATGTTTATATTAGAAATTATAGCCTGAATATAAACAAAGGGAATCAAAAGTTTTCATCACTGTCATATCTTACGCGGTCACGTTAATGAGTTTGTTTCGTACAAAATAGAGAACCAGCATCGCGGCGTAATCAGCGAGCAAGAAATCTAATCGGATAGATGAATTGATGGGAGATGGACGGACGAAAAACTTTATTCAACTTCTGCAGAATGCTTCTTACCCCGCAGCGGGACACGCTTCTTGTTGCTTGCAGGCCAGTGAACGTGACGAAAAAAGGTGGGCTTCTAAGCGGACGCAAACCCAGCTTGCGCTAAAGTACGCCAGGAGCAACAGTGGTGATGCAGTGCAACCACCCAGGGCCTCGTTGTGCCCTGAGACGTGGCTGTGGTGGTAGTGAAGACGTTTTAGGGCGTTATATCTGTGTGTGAAGGCCCAAAAGGTTCACTGGTATCTTATACATTGCCGTATGGCAATTAGACGACAAAAACACTCTTCAAGTGACTTTACTTTTTTAAATCTGAGTGGAACGTATTGAGCTGCACCCCCCCCTCCTTACAAAACATTTTGCACCTAAAATGTTGTTTTATGTGCCCTGGCATTAACACACCCTTCAACAAGCGATGAAATCAAGTACTGACGTCATGGTGACGTCTTGATGATGTTATATATAATTGTGACCTCTGACATTGTGATTAAGTACTCATGAGGCTATTTATAGTAACGTTATAGTTCCTAGACGACTCCTTGTATAGACGCCGTGGGCACCAGCGGTGAGTTTTCGGTGTTTTATAAGCGATTTAAAGCTTAAGCCTAAATAACATAATGCTGTCCCACTTTTAAAGCTGTAGTTTAAGCACACTGCTAATTTTCTTTGGGAGTATAGGGGTATTGTTGGTCAACAGGAAATATTCGTCATTAAAAAGTGATGAAAACGGAGATGCGTCGTGCAAGGAAACGCTGCGTCTCCATCATGGCGCTGTTCTTACAATTGATTCATACCAAAATGGCCTGATATGAATAAACATGTGCATCAAAACTTGCAACAAATATGATGTATATATAAGAACAACAAACTCAGTTGCAGCATTATTTCGGTAAGAATTACATGGCATCTGTAGGGACGTGGCACAATTTCGCTTGACTTTTGATGTAGTAGTCTACCTACTAGGCTCATTTTCTGTTTATCAAAAAATGTTAAAGCACTCCTGTAAAAAAATTGTATAGCTGAAATATTTGCGCAGATGACATATAAATAATTAACCTTACGACGCGTGTGTGCGTAGTACAGGAAAATGTCTCATATATAGGTTCCCGAGAAAGTCTCGCCAACAAAAGCGACTCTCCCATCAAAGCTAATGAATTTTGAGGGAGCTTAGCTCTCGAGTTCGTAAAAGGCAAAATCAATATTTCCCTGAGCTACCATTACTCCTCAATCACAGCTGTCAGCCTAGACGTCCAGCGAAAAGGGCCAGCTATGGAGGTCATCCTAAGCACTCAGTGGCAGTTGGGTAAACAGCGATGACGGTCAGTGCTCGAGCATGCAATGCGATATTCAAAGCAGTGGCAGCCGACAACTCTGTTACGCGAGACTGTCTATGAAACCTAAGGATGTCGGCGCTATACCTCCTGCCCGTTGTCTTAATGACGATGTTGTTTCCTATTACGTCGAGTCTAAATGTTTGCGCCAAGCCGCCAGGTAAAACTGTTTCACTAACGCTATTGTCAGAAGATTTTCTTGGAGGTGGAGCTTGTTACATGGGCTACCGTTACATATGAACTAACAACTCAGAGATCTGTTTGGCTAAGAGCATCTTGAAATTGTTATATATACAACCTATATGCAGATATAGCAGTCGATAGACATATTTTCATCTCTAGAGGCCGCACGTGCTGTATGATTCGTTGATGGTCGATATACATTTGTCATAGTATGGTTAGTTCTCTTGTCCAGTGCACAAGTTTAGGTGAAATGTCCGATTTCATGAATCAATTAGGACGAGACACCTGCAGTATTTGAAAATACTACCGACTTAATTATTGAGCAGGTCCTTTAAAACGCGCGAAGTTCAGTGGGCTACTTACGACTGTGTTTTTTTCTTGCACTATCAAAGCTTTCTTGTTCAACGTTCCAAGGCGTATCCTAAAGGAAGCTTCTATAATAAACAGCCCCCCGCCGAGGTTGTTGATTGTATGTCGTCCTTTGTAACTAACTATCCATACGGTGCAGTGCTTCCGTTCGTTTTTACAAGTCTTACAGTCCACCCCGAGCTACATGTAGTCGGTACCAGCTTTTACCTATTTTAGTGCGATATTAATCATATGGAGACTCTCGGCTGGATTTTGCCGCAGGCGTCGGCGTCGGCTCAGCGTGACTCATCGTATATGTTTATGTATCTAAACATATAAAAAATAAAACGAAAAATCCACAAACAGACTCTGGCGTGCGGAGTCGAACTCAGCTCCTCTGAATCGGGAGTTTGAGGCGTTAACCACTGAACCACCAAAAACCACGTACTCTATCATTCAAACGCAAGCTATTTATATCTCCCTCTTACCGCTGTTGACGGGCAGCTTGGAGGGGAACTATCGTGCTTTAGCCACTACCGCCTCAATAAAGTTACGACCTGCTCATCGGCGCAACCCCTGTGATGACGTTGGGGTCTTAAAATTGGCGCGCGGGGACCAGAGATGCCGCCAGATTCCGCCACGACTTACCCCCATATAGGGAGCCTACATGAACGGCCGTTTTTAGGGTGATGTCAGCCTTTGACCCACTACATGCCGCCAACGCACCGCCGCCCGCCAAAACACAATGTTGCCAGACAGCAACGCCGCGCTGTCACCCCATCTTGGTGCCCGCACTGCGTCTACGCCCGGTTGCGTTTAGTTCTCAATAATACGGCGTCGAACGTTGCGGTAGCGTGTTAAACGCTGCCGGTGAAGCCTTATAATGCCTGGTTGCTGCGTACGCTCTGCACTGACCACAACAGAAAGGGGGTGCGAATGTTCCGCTTCCCAGCGAGTCCATGGCCAACGACAACAATGGCTAGCTCAAGTGAAGCGAGACGGCTGGGAGCCCACCAGTGCGTCTCGTATTTGCTCTGTGAGTACTGCGTGTTTCGTTCACTGTTTTTTCCTGCGGCACACGTATATGTGTTTCGCGGTGTTCGCGAATGAGTAGATAACCGAAGTTGTCGTTGCTGTGTCCACGCATTGCGAGTAGGAAGCCCACAAACGGGACGCGTCCGCGCGTTCGTACGGAGACGCGCTCGCTAGTCTGAGCTGTTGCCACGCTTGCGTTCGTGTCAGCGTAACCTCAGTATTATGTCGCAAGTGTTTGTGTGTGGGCTGCGAATTTCTTCGTGCGCTCACTTTGAGAACAGGGTCGCTTACACGACCTTTTTGTGGCGCCGTACTTCGCGTAGCTGGAGGGAGCGGCGGCTGGCTCCAAAATGGCGGCGCACAGAAAACTATGCTGAATTAGGTGAAAGCTGGCAACAGCGTGCCCCGTTGCCTGCTGGTTTTGGCTGAGTTTCTTGAAGGCACTTATTAAGATGTCTCCACCCTAAAAACGGCCGTTCATGTAGGCTCCCTACCCCCCTAGCAGACGGCGCACGAACGTCGTGCTTCACTCGTGCTAGCGCGTTCCTTTTATTGTTTTTCCAGTTTATATTGCGTTGATCGAATTATTCACAGATTGAGCGTCTTGAACCAACATTCTAGCTGTCAGAAGCACCCCGGTGGCTTACTCCGGGGTCTCTACTACCAGATCTCAATCTCTGCGTGAGCGCCTCAGAAAAACAAAATTGGCAGATCCCACGTACAGTCTATAGTCTGACGCCAGGCGCGACCAGCGTCCGTCGGCACGGCCCGACCGCCACCGGCGAGAAATGCGGCATGCTACATTTCGCGCCGATGCGTTACCCAGACAACACTGCGTCTCCCTGTTTTCGTCACTATGAGTATATGGCAGGACCAGTGCCTGGCGCAGCAACGCCGGTGTGACGCGACGGAATGAACGCCGGCGAGCACGCACACCGCGTCATGTCGAAATGTATTGGCGCCTTGACTGTGGCATGTAGCCATGTTCTCACATGACACACATCTCATGATTATCATGTTTGCACCAGTCACATACCTTGGTCATCCATAGGTGTCACGTAATACCAAACTTGGCATATGTGAAACTAGCAAAACAGCCACAAGCGCATCATCAGTGCGGCATGTAGTCATGTTGTAACATGACACGCATGTCGTGATCATCATGTTTGGATGTGTCATTTGCATATGTCGTCCGTTCGCGTCGCGTAATGCAGAGTTTGGTTCATGTTAAGCTAGCCAAACGGCCGCGATTGCATCACAAGCGTAGCATCTAGTCATGCTGTTACATGACATGCATCTCATGTTTATCATGTTTGCACCAGTCACATATCTTCTTCATTCATTCACGTACCGTAATACCAAATTTGGTACATGCGACGCTATCGAAACGCCCGCGAGCGCATAATGAGCTTGGAACGTAGTCATGTTACATGACACGTATGCCATGATTTTCATGTTAGGGTCTGTCGCTTGTGCTCGCCTTGCAATCATGCCATACAATAGCAGTTTTGCAACATGCCACGTGAACGAAAACACCGCAAGAGCTGCAGGACCAAGAAATGTAGATCATGACATTCATGAGATGCATTTCATGATTTTCATGTTATGACTCGTCAAATATGTTCTTCTCACAATCATGTTATGCCAAATCAAGTTTGGTATCTATACCATTATCGAAACGGCCTAGAGAGCTAAAAGTCGTAGGCGGATAGATAGATAGATAGATAGATAGATAGATAGATAGATAGATAGATAGATAGATAGATAGATAGATACGCTCAAGGTCTCCGAAGTTTGCTGATAAATGCTTCGCGTTTAAAAAAAATTGCCCGCAGCTTCCCTCGGGGGAACACTGAGGAGGATGCGGAGCATATAATTGGTTAACGGGGTGTTAAAGTGCGACTTACTTGGGTCGATGGCTAAATTGGTTAACGTGGTTGCGAAATGGGGTGTTAAATTGCGACTTACTTGGGTCGATGGCTAAATTGGTTAATGTGGTTGTAGGAGGGGGTGTTAAATGAGTGAACACGTACACACGTATGCGAAAGGGCGGCGCTGGTCGAAGGGACGTCGATCATTGTGTTTGTGGATTCGTTGGAATTCATTTCACCGCGACCTTGGACGTCGACGCGCCGTACAAACCAACCGACGAGCGGCAACTGAGCGAGCGAGCGCCGACCTTGAGTATATATACAGCGCGACGGCGCATGCACTGTCAGCTGTTGAATGTTCTCGAAGCGCGACGCCACATGCGCGTCCACTGGAGAATCAGGAGAATTGTAGATGTCGAACGCGGTGTGTAGAGGAGGAAGGGTGCACAGATGGTGGAGGAGTGAAGCGCGCGCGGTGTGTAGAGGAGGAAGGGATGCACAGATGGTGGAAGAGTGGGCGACGGCGCGACGGCGCATGCGCGCGCGTCAGCTGTCGAATGTTCGAGAAGCGGTGCGGACGGCGCGGACGGCGCACTACAAGGCGCGAGTATAAGATGCTTCCGCATCTAAAAAACCACGCGAACGTGCACAAGCCCTTGCAGAAAAGCAGTTTGACGGCTGCAGCGATTGGGGTAAGTTGTTGCGCCATGTCGTCCCGTTTCTAGTGCTGTAGCACTTTAGACAAATAAAAAATAAACAAGCAAAAGCAAAAATGGCAACACGAGGAGCGGCGCCATGAGCAGGTCGTTAGCATTACCAGCAAGATGACACAATAAGCGCACGTAGCAACATCGTCACGACACGGCGGCCGCGCCCTCATATCCCACGTGCACTTTGCCCCGCACCGCAAAAAGCAGGGGGTCAACGCTCACTCGCGCGACATTATCTCACGGTACACACACAAAGTGGTTCTAGGAGAGAAAGGATAAGAAGAGTGAGCCCCGCAACTGCCTGCTCGCGGTACGGAGGATCGTACGTCTTGCCTGGCCTTGGGCTTTTACCGGAACGATTCTGTTTTAGTTACCATGCGCACAAAGATCACTGCAACTGGTGCATAGTCTACGTTTGTGAAAAGAGCGCGCTTTTCATGCACAGCGAAGTAACAACTGAGATTCTTATTCACGTTCATCTGCACTTGAGAGTACGTTTCATGCGTCATTTGTACGTTAGAAACCCGGGGCAAAATTTGATATGTTGGCCGTTCTGCACGTGACCATCTAATTTGTTGCTATCGCGTTCATTGCTTGACCTTTGCGGCAAGGTTGTGACTTTTTTAGAACTGTGGAGGCGTAATTGTTGAAGAGCAAGACAGCAGAAAGAAGTGAGAGAGAGAAGGGAAGGTGAAGCAAGGTAAATAACGGCTTGCCGCCCTTTGATGTCCAAACGGGTTAAGAAAAGAAAACCTGGTCCGTAGGAAACTCACTTTATAAACAAAAATGACTTAACAATAATGTGACGTGACGTTGACCTATAGCTACTAAACTTTGTGCACTTATAATACCTAATCTAGATCAAGCCCAGATCGGGCTTTCAAAAGCGCATTCTTTCAAAAGCGCAAAAGTGATTGTCTGTTTCATCAAGCTCAATACAGAAGGTGTTTTTTTTTTCTCTAGTGCGAGGAGAGCTCTTTCACACGGTGAACTTAGGACCGTATTCACAAACC